GTTGGTGTGAAGAGTGAGGAGACATCGAGCTCGATGGAGGAGGGTATTTTCGTGGCGAAGACGATTGATTACAGGTGAGGGGCTTTTATTGTTATTTATTATTTTATTTATTATTATTTATATTTTTAATATATTCATTATTATTTATTATTATTAATTATTATTATTATTGTTATTTAGAAATGTCTAAAATTTTAGAAATATTCACATTTTATGTATATTTTTACTTATATTATCGTATGTTAGATGTTATGTATAATAAATATAAATAATAAATAATAGTAAATATATTAAATATTATTAAATATAATAAATAATAATAAATTAATAAATAATAATAAATATGATAAAATTTCAGACCGAAAGGTCAAATAACCCATCTGAAGGCATCCAATTCCGAAATGTTGTTGGTAATCGGCGGCAGGCACTTAATTCATATACCCTTACATAATATTGGCACCCAAATTGGTTTGTTTTTATTTATTGTTATTTATTAATGTATATTAGTAATATATATGTATATTAATAATATATATGTATAATAATAATATAGAAATCGAATTACCTCTATCGACACACGATCGAATCGCGTATTTACATATGGATTTAAATGGAATTCACTCGATTATCAGCTCGTCTGCGGGGGAGAATTTTTATTTGAATATCAAATATAATACGTTTAAAAATTTGGTTCGATTGAAGGTATTTTTTATTATTATTTATTATTATTTATTTATTATTATTTATTATTATTGTTATTTATTATTTTTATTATTTATTCAATATTATTGTTATCATCCAATAACCACGTGTGTATCATTGTAATGGTGTTCGTATTGTAATAGTAATATGGTTGAGGGTGATAGATTGCGAGAAAAGTGGAGGATTAGAGATAGAAAGGGTGCGGAGATAGTGTGCAAAGTGAGGAGATCAGAGAATAGGTGAAAAGATAGAGAGAGCAGTTTTTAGAGGTCAAAAATTTGATGGGCAGATCAAAAGTATTGCGGTGGGTGGATTTGGCGGGAAATTTTAGTGGTATATAAAGGAGAGCTGCGTTGGTGGCAGTCATTGTTGCGTTGTGTTGTGGTGGTGAGTGGTCGGGTGCGTGGGTGGGTGTGTTGGCGTGTTTAGGGTATTGGGTAGTTGTGTTTATTTTAGGTGAGATGCGTATTATAGTGTATATTTGTATTATGTTGTGTATAATATTATAATATATAATGCATAGTAATGTATAATAATAATAATAAATAATAAATAAAATACCAGGGTCATATTATAACGGCAGTCGGATGGAATTCGGAGCTATCGACCAAATCAACGACGCAGTTCATTGTTTTAGGAACAAATAAAGGTCAGATTATTTATTATTATTATTGTTATTATTTATTATTGTTGTTATATATATTAATAATATATAATATTAAATATTATAATGATAATAAATAAATAATTCAGGTACCCTACTAGAGACCCAAATTCAATCGGACGGTACCATAGTGTATTCAAAGGAATTAATTCGGAATTTAACTGGTGAAAAGGACATGCCTATCACCGACATTGAGCTGATGCAGTGCTATGAGGAAGGCGATAAGCAGAGGTCTTATTTNTTATTATTGCTATTATTTATTATTTTTGTTATGTATATATCAATAATATATAATAATAAATATTACAATAATACTAAATAAATAAATAATTCAGGTACCCTACTAGAGACCCAAATTCAATCGGACGGTACCATAGTGTATTCAAAGGAATTAATTCGGAATTTAACTGGTGAAAAGGATATGCCGATCACGGATATTGAGCTGATGCAGTGCTATGAGGAAGGCGATAAGCAGAGGTCTTATTTATTATTATTTATTATATTATATTTATTATTATTTATATTTATTATTGTGTTATATTTATTATTATTTATAATTATTATTTGAGATGGGCAGTTTTCGTGTGTACACCGGGGCGTTTATACCCTCTAACGGGGACGTTACCGCAAAAAACAGACCGTTCCGTAGTGCAGCCAGTGGTGGGTGCCATCTGGAATTCGTCGCTGATCGAGGAGTCGTCTGCGGTGTTGCAGCCGTTATTCAGTTTTAAAGGTTATTTTTTATTATTTTTATTATATATTATTATTGTTTTTATTATATATCATTATTTTTATTATATATTATTGTTGTTTTTATTATATATTATTATTGTTTTTATATAATAATAATATTTAGAAATGCCACGGTATCACTGTTGTGACCCATCGCAACGTAATTTGCCGAGTTCATTCGTAATCCATCCAAAGAATCAGTCATCTGCGGGGGAATTCAAATTCTGCTGGATATCTTCGCAAGGTCTTGTTTATTATTATTTATTATTGTATAATATTTTTATATTATTTATTATATTGTATAATATTTATATTATTTATTATTAATGTATATTTGTATATTTATTATTATTTTTTACTATTTATAATAATAATTGTTAAGGTTATACGCTTGGTGCTATCAATTTACATACAGATGACGCGTTTAATATGATTACCGAGGAGGCTCCCATACCGTTAGTTTTATTTATTATTATTATTATTATTATTATTATTATACAATGAGAAATAATTATAATTAATATAATAAATAATATGTAATATTAATAAGTGTAATAATATTAAATGATAAATAATAAAATTGCAGACATCGTCTAGTGAATGGTCGGTACGATTATCCGTTGGATATTGCGTTGACGGATTATCATTTGGTGATTATTTTTGGGGATCGATTCGAGGCGATATCGATTTTGAATCAAAAGTGTACATTTAACGATGTGATTGCGATCGTTGGTTATTTTTATTTATTTTGTTATTATTTTTATTATTTTTTAATGTTTATTATTTATTATATTTAATATTATTATATTTATTATAATATTATTTGTAAGTGTTAATAGATACTGAAGATAGTATGTGGGAGTTAGGTGTGGTAGATGTTTGGGTGGCGCAGTCCGTTAGTGGATTGGTCTAGGGCTAGATGGTTGGGGTGGTGTGTGGGTGGGGCGTAGGTTCGGTTCCGGGCTAGGGCGGAAGTTTTTTGAGAGTTGTATTTTTTATTATTTTGTATTATTTATTGTAATTTGTTATTATTTTTATTATTATTTATTATTATTATTATTATTGTTATTGTTATTTCAGGAGTCATGTCAGCTGCGTGGAATGTGTCGTGATAATGTGACCGAATTGATCTGGGTTTATACCGACTCGAATATCATTCGATATCGACCGAATGAGGAGGGAAAGTGGGTTGATTTTAGTTATTTTTTATTATTATTATATATTATTTATTGTATTTATTATTATTTAATATTCATTATAACGTATTATTTATTGTATATTAATAATGTTAATGTATATAATAAATAATAATAATAAATAAAAGGAGTGTGTGGCGTATCCACCTGGAACGCGGTGAATACGATAAAGCGTTATCGATAACGGATCACCTCAAGGATCGAGAACCCTATCAATTGGTCATTAAGAAGCAAGCCGAGAAATTTATTGCCGAGAAAAAGTGGGCGGAGCTTATTTTTATTTATTATTAATATATATTATTTATTATTATGTATAATTAATTATTTATTATTATATATTATTTATTATTATTGCAGATTCATCGCAGCTGCCGAACTGCTGGCGCAATCAACGGATCCGTTCGAAATTTCGGTTTTGAATTTTCTGTCGACCCAAGAGAATCGACGTGACGGATTGAAGCGATTTTTGGAGTTACAGCTGAGTAAAATGACGTCATCGGAGGTTATTATTTATTATTATATTATTTATTATTATATTATTTATTATTATA